CGATTTCCGTCTCTTCCTCTCTCTCTATCTTCCCGAGAGAAAATAGATAGAAGCAACAAAAAAAAGAGAGATGAACATACCCGCATCAACCATTGCCTCCCACGAAGCTTCAAGAAGAATTCTGACTTGTGGATCCATGAAATTTGCTTGTTTTGGTGTCACTTGGAAGAAGCCCGCGTCGAATTTATTCAACACTTCCAGTTTACCATGTCGTTTTGGCAGATCATAGAAGCCTGGTGGCCATCTGAGATCATCTTCGGTTACCAAATCTTCTCCGTTAATCAGTCTATCTCCGAATATTTTGACGTTAGCGCATCTGAAAAAATGAAGACGTTGGAAGGGATTCCAGAAGTTATCAGTCCTGAATACCTTGGGAATCGGCCCGAGACTCCCGAAATGACGATATCGTCCTGTTTCTGCCAATATTGAGTAGATTCCATGTTGTCCGAAGACTGAAATAATGAGCTAGGAGACCATTCAGAAGAGGCTGAGGAGTACGGTAGGGGAGAGTCTAGGGATTCAGTAGATTCTAGATCATTTCAAAACGTTGAAAAATGAGAAGAAACTTATTGATTGTAAATTTTTGGTTAACCATAAACGAACAACACACATTTGTGAATGAGACCGTGTACTCGGAATGACAAAAGGAAGAGGTAAACGAAGGAATAAGATGGAGAATAATAAGAAAAAGAAGACGTTTGGGATGACCGGACAACGAAAACTAGGAGAAGAAGACGATGCGGATGCGAGCGCTGCGCGGTAGAGATGGTAAAAGATAAAAAGAGAGGGACGAGAACTGTCGAGACACCAACCGATCCTCTCTTTTTCTTGCCTATTAGGTTCTACAACCGGCAAACTTTTTTTTCTGAATTTAGGAAAAGAAGAAGATGAGGACATGGGGAGAAGGAGCGAAATTGCAGATGGCAAAACTCATCGGGTTACTGTAGGAGGTGAACTTCTTGAAGTGATGAACTTCAGATTCCATTGTTCAAGAGCATTTGAACTTTGGAAACATGTGATTAGGAAAGTGACTAATGAGGGAAACTGCAAACACCAAAACAATTGGACAAATTAAAACAAGCGAACATTGAAGTGGGTCTATTCAGCAGATCCTTGGTACGGTAGCTGATGTCAGCTCCAAGTTTCCAATCAGAGATAAATATTCTAAATTCCTAATCTTCCGCTGAAACTGTAGATATTCGAAGAAAGAGATCCAGCTGCAGACTGATCGTCTTGAGAATTCTGCAGTTTAATTCTAAGGTTTCCCCTCTTTATACCCGTATCCATTTCTAAAATCATCGTTTCTTAAATCATCATATGTCAATCACATGAAGAAGAAGAAGCTATTTCAGAAATCCAGAACGAAATGATGACAAAACACTGAATACCGGATCCGTGCCTCCTTTTCCATCTTCAGCATGTTCTGATTCATCAAGAAAAATCGGATAGCCTCATTAAGATAGAATCGGGCGATCTAAAAGTCGAGAGCGCGTCATTTCAAACATTCCAACTGTCTTTCTTCTTCATCTAACAAAAAAGGATAGTGAACTCAAAAGAAAAGGTCTAGATGAGGAGAAAAGATTATCAATAGAGGAAAAAGGAAAGAGAGGTCATTTTTGCAGATGACCGTCGCCCGTTTTTCCGTCCCTGAGTTGTCCGTTTATATTGTCTCTTTACTAAGTTGGAGTGATCTAATCTTAAAGATACTGTATCTGATCAGGTTGTCGATAAACCTCTCTCCGGCGACCCGACAAAAGTATGATGAAAAATCGGAGAGAAGTAACGGAAAAGAGCGGGGGATAGGAAAAAGAAGAAGAAGATGAGATAAGCGACAATCGGGAAAAGAAGAAGGAAACTGGAGAACAAAGTTTGCTGAATGGCCGCATTCTTTCCATTTGTTGCGTCTTTTAAGCCTTTTGAGAGGCGGCTCTGTCGATGTGGGCGGAGTCAAGAGCAAAGAAAAAGAGACTGTAGAAGAGAGTGAATATTTGAGAAGAGAAATAGAGAAACCAAACGAATCGAGGCTATAAATAGATTGAATTTATTGAGAATTTACCTGAGAATTGTCAGAAATACGTTCCCAAGTTCCACTAGAATCGGACGATCCTTCACCAGTGTTATCCATCGTTCGATTCCTGAAATTCAAATATTGAGTACGATAGGATAAATATTATGAGATTCAAAAAAAGAAGTGTTGAGGTAACAATAATAAGAAGTCGTAGGGAATGAGACTCAGAAGAAAATTGCGAGTTAGGATATCGGTTAGCTGAGCTTTGGATCTGATTTTCCATTTAAATCTCCGTTCATTTGGATTCTATAGCTAACGTTCCCTAGTCCCCTTTTCTAGGGCTGATCAACCGTCCTCTAATCCCTAAATGTTCTGTTTTTGAAACTGTGTTCAAACTTGAAACAGTCCGAAAACAGATGACATCATAAAGGTCAAAATCGTCTAGGACCGGTTTTCATTCACAATTTGGTTTCAGAATAATAACAGTTCGAGTCATACGGAGTTGACTCAACCGGACCGACTGCCTATATACCCTAGACCTAATGATGTGACCATTGGAGGTAGAAATATCGAAATGAAGAGAGAGATTCGTCAAACGAAGTAGGTCTTCTCCTAATTCTCCTTCTCTCTTTTTTAACCATTCTTGGGGACTACACAAGAAACAAGTGAGAGGTGACGGAATGGGGCGAGATGAATGTATGGAAGTGGGCGGCGAATCGTCGGTTTTTCGACACTGAATGTCCTATCCGAGAGAAGAGCGCACAGTCATAAAAGAGGGGCGATTCGACCTTGGGACATGATCGCATCGATGTAAACGGTGGCCGAAGCCTCCCGGGAGGAGGAGTAGGAGGTCAGAACCTACTTATTATCCTCCTACTGTTTGTGTTCGGTGAAAAGTTGCATTCGTGGCCATCATCGCCCCGTTTTGCAGTTTTTGCAGTTCACGTGATTTTTTAATGAATTAACCCCAAAAAGAATGAGATTATTTTAAAGAACACAAAAGAAGACAGGAATCCGGTTTGTTCAAAGTACGGTTATCAGGCTGACGATGAAGGTGTCAACCCTTTTAAATGTACCCTGCAAAGATTGACCCCATTCTTCTTTTCGAGAAGAAGATGAAGAAGAAAATGGGCGGTATGAAAAAGTGGATGGTATGATCTTCACCCAAAGAAACACTCTTTTTGCAGCTAAAAGTTTAAAAGCACTTGGGTTTTTATCGAGAGAAACGAAATCTGGTTTTGAATGGAAACACAAACGAAAAAGTGCATCTGATCTCAATGATTTTGCAAGATCATGATCGAAAATTGACAGTATTTCATGCAGTGGTTTGTCGTTTTCGTACTCTGCCAAATAAAAAATTATGTTGGTGTTATGATAACGCGATTACTTCTCATAAAGAAAACAACTCGAAAGCTTAAAATAAATGTTTCCTGTGAATGAAGCCTGTAACTTTGTCGTGTTCAGATTGATCATTTCTACAAGCCTAATACACAATTGCTTACAAACTGCTTACTGCTCGTTAGAACTTTTTGGTTGACTACTCTGTTTTTCAAGGAACATTTGATAGTGCACCACTATTAGAGGGGCATTTCAACTGGAGAGGCACCTCAATTAGAGTACTTACGGTAGTTTTAAATGTTATTTCGTTAGACATTTGGCATTATTATTCTCTGAAACTTTGAGCAGATGCTTAAAAAGAATAAACATTTCATTTTATTTTCAGAGTTCGTTTTGTCATTCAAAACGACAACTCGAGATAGTAAATGATATTTCGAAACTTCTTTTCTCTATCTTCTTAAGCTATGTATATAAACTGACGAATGTCTGAGACACAACGGATTGTGCATTTTTCTGAAGAGATGACACATAAACGTAGAAGAATCATTGGAATTCAATTTATTTCTGAAACGGTAGGCGGCATTCTTCTCAAGATCCCACATCACTTTACAGTCAATCAACTGAAAGAGCAAGAAGAAAAAAAGAGTTTTGTGATGCGTGGGATGTTAAACCAAAGGGAAAAAAGAGAAGAAAAATCACTTTGTACAAATGAAAAAGATAGAAAAAAGAAAGGAGAAGATTGGAAGAAGTTTGCTACTGTTTTACTGTAAATTTCAAAATTAAGACAGGCCACCACCAAAACGATGTAATTACATTATTTTTTTTGGTTTGGTTCTGGTTTTCAGGTCTCTCTATCATCAATTAAAAACGTTTTTGACCTGATACATCGAACCACCTCCAAAAGAGTGACTTTAGTGGTATGATGACTGAAGTTATAGTACATATACGTCAGAAACAATTAAAGTAACTCCAAATTTATATGTGTTGAGTTGTTCATTGTAACCATTCCTTTCTTGTTTGCATCTTTGTAGTTTGACAAATTTAACGTCATCAGTAAAAGGAAAACGATTGTGATCTATTCATCTAGAATCTTCTACAGTGCAATTTCATTTCTTCGCCAACAAACATGATAACAATTCGTGACGTCGATTTGATGATGTTTGACGGGAATTTCCCCCCCCCCCCCCCCAACAAACAGTTTTTTGAATGTTCCCTCCATTAACTATGTCTAATGTTTGTCACGGGTATATTATAGGCTTTGTTAGCTTCATTTTCAGATTCTTATCGTCAAAATACCCCGTTTCTTTTTCCTCGAAAGATTCAGGAAATTGATAAGGAAGGAGAGGTGAAAACAAATTGACTGATTGGGTACAGGTGTCCTGAAATAGAAGAAGAAAAACTATGAAAGTAACTAGTTCTGAAACCTCTTTTACCACTAGTGGTTACCAATCACTACAATAAAGAGTAACAAAAAAGTCTACTGTAATTCTGTCATTTCTGAATGTGAATGGGACTTTCTGACATGTTTGAATGGGTCACTTTCCAAGTTCTGATTGGAAATCCGATCTTTTTTTAAACAGTATAATAACTGAAAGATAATATAGATTATCTTTATAACTTGGAAAACATTCGCAAAAAGAGTAAAAACATTTTTCGCCAGGGGCAGGATTCGAACCTGCATTAGGAGCATGCCCTTCAGTTTTACAACTGTTGCCTTCCACCACTCGGCCACCCTGGCGCGCAGTCTGAATTTTTGCTATCTGTGATTTGATATACCTAACGGGCGAAAGAACGATTTGTTTACAGTAAATGAAGCTCGAAAACAATTGCTTCAGGTGAATAGAGATGATCTTTTGGATTTCAGAAAACAAATCAAGGGGATCAATGAAGTTGTTCTAGAGATAGTAGTGAGTGTAGAATTTCACAAATAATCTTCTTCTCTCTTTCTTCTGTAATTCAACTGTTTTTCAAATAAAGTTCTCGTTTATTTTTCAATCAAAGTTTGAATAGAAAAAACCTGCGAAATTATAGTTTTGGAAGAAAATCAGTAACATAATAAGTTTTGATTACAAAGACATTTTTTCAATGGTTTATTACTGTTTTTTCTTGTTTGTAATCAAATGGAAATAAGCTTTCGGTATATTTCGAAAACTCAATTTGTTACAGTTGCATGGAAGTTGTATATCTTGTCAGCCTACAGAGTTGTTGCGAGATGTTCAAACAGAAACTGTAAATTACACCTCATTACACAAAACGTCGGTACACAAATTTGGGAAACATCTACTAGAAATCAGGATGAAGTATTCGGAAAAGAAACATTGTACTGTATATTGAAATTAAAAAAGGGAATAATTGAAAAATCCATTCGAAGATGTGGATACTCCCTTCTTTTATAACATCTAAAAATCCATAAAAAACCAAGACACAATTTCAAATATTCCAGATGTGCCTGATCGATGTTTATCTTGCGTAATACGATTAAAACGAAATCAAACTACACTCGGAACCAGCTCTTTTCTAAATTTGCCAGTCGTGTCTTTAGGTTGCCACCGGAGGAATACAAGAAAGAAACACGTTCTTTTTTATCAGATTGAAAAATGCGACGGTACGAAATGAAAGGAGAGAGAGAGGTGGATCAGGAGTTCGATAGGAATAAGAGAGAGAGAGAGAGAGAGAGAGAGAGAGAGAGAGAGAGAGACTTCAAAAAAGGGTTTATTCTGTTGAACTTTCCCAAATATTTCATTTTGATTTGTGTTATGTTCTTAGAAACATTGAAAGTTTTAACCAATGCATTATTTAGGAGATCTTCAACTATTATTGTATTCCTTCTTGTTCTAGTATTCGTCATTGCTCTCTACTATCAAATGGATATGTATGAAAATGTGGATGAGGTATGGAGAGAGAAAGAATTATACAAGATTAGTTGTCTCTTTCAGAAAGTTGAAATATCAGATCAGTTTCTTTTGACAAGAAACTTATCAAGTAAAAAACAAGACATCACAGTTTTAATCATAGTGAATGATTCTGAAAGTGCAGAGAAAGAATATAATATTGCATTGAATTCCGTTCGTTGTTATTGTGAACAGAAGAAATATCGACTGGAAATAGCAGAAGACACTGACTTCCGACATTTCTGTCAGCAAGAAAATGTAAGTATTCCTTGAAGGATCATTCTTGTATCTTTCTAATTTCTCAGAGCATGTTCCGTCGTCACTGCATCGTGGCACATCTTCTTCGGGAAAGTGAATACGTGTTTCTTTTGGAACCTGGAATGGCTGTTGTGAATCCTGATATGTGAGCAAATCAATGAAAATCAATCTTTTGAAATTTTTTGAAAAATGCTTTGAAACTCAATAACAAAACCTTTGTTTCCAGGAGACTCGAAGAGTTCATCGATGACAACTACGATATGACGATGTACGACAAGTTCACAAGTTGGGAAATCGATACAAGTAGGAACACCTTATTCTGAATAATATTCATTCCCAATTTCAAGGTTCCTACGTAGTCAAAAACACAGTTTGGTCAAGGGATTTCTTGATGAAACTTGCTGAATTTGAAACGAAAATTCCATCTTCGAGTAATGATAACACTGCACTTCATGTATGTTGAAGTTTGAAAAAGTTTTTAAATCATTATTTTATTTTAGATTCTTCTTCAAAAAACGTTTTATCCAGAATTCACAGAAGAAGCTGGAAACTGTTTAAAAATCTTGGAAAATCTTGAGTTTTCAACTGGAAATCAACAGATAATGTATACATTTGAAGCTTGTATTCGAACAGTTATTGGAGAAAATCATGAATTCAGTAATATGAGAATCATTAAAAAGGTTTCTAAATAATAAAATATTCTTCATTTGAATTCAGTTATTTCTAGGGAACTGGTTGGGCAAGAGAGATCTGGTTGACTGATTCAAAGTGGAATCAAAATAGAGATTTTATGCTGAATGGACTGAAGAATTCTCTCCAAACTACATTTGCACACGGTGTACTATCTGATATGTGAGTTTTAGAAAAGTTTCAATTAGAAATTAAAGAGATTTTTCAGATTGTTAGGAAGACAAACATGGAGATCTCCATTTTCAACTCCACCGATTCAAGGACAATGTGATTATTCAAAATGGGATTATGATCAATCACTTATTGTTTCGAAATCAGAAATTGACGAATATTTGATTGAAAAGTACGAAGAAGTGGAGAAAATGAGATGGCAGAGTCTAGCAGCAGTCGGGAATTATATGAGTAAAAGTTGATTGTTCATTTGTCTCAATTAATAAATAGTTTCATTAGGTTTTAGAAACCTTTTTTTTTTGTTTTTTTTTTTCAGATCTTTTGATCTCATTTTGAAAAATTCGGTAATCAAATTCCCTCGAGGATATCCACGATTTCAGTGGCGCGTTATCAAAATCATCGCCAAGAATTTCTAAATTTCCACTAGCTTTCAATTCCCTCTTTTAAAAAAACTATGCATTTGGAGTTTCGGAAGTAGCAGGGAGTTTTCATCTTCTTCTCATTTCTATCCAATTCACACACTTTTTCTGTAATTCTGAAAATTTCGAAACATGGGGAATTTTATTGATGAAAGAAACCGAATGTTCATGAACCATCAGAAATATGTTTCTCTTAAGTTTTCCTACAATCAGTTGCACACCTTCTTTCTATTATATATCTAGTTTCAAAACAACTGTCTATTGGTTTTGTTTTCCTTTTTCTTGACCCATTTTGTAGTAAAAGGTAGAATACGAATTGTCATCCTCAGTCGGAGACGACGTCCATCTCCAGTTTTCACCATGACAATGGTCCAACCACAATGCATTTTCTCCTCAAAGTGCACATTAATGTTTCATCTTCATGGCGACTCCGCCTTGTCGTCAGGGTACCTTCCCGACTCCGTCGACTCCTTTTCTTCTCCATTCTCACAATATTTGTATAGAAAAGTGAAATAGGCTTTTCCAAAAACGAAGGAGGAACGATGCCTCAATATAAAGGAAGTGTAAGTTGATTTCTCTCTTTTGAATATAGTCAAATCAAAACCAATTTACAGCGAGAAGTGATATCGATTCACGTTGGACAGGCGGGAGTTCAAATTGGAAACGCATGTTGGGAACTATTCTGTCTCGAGCATGGTATTCAACCGGATGGATATCATGTTGAAGATGATTCATATGATGAGGAAACTGAAACAATCAACACTTTTTTTGCGGAAACTGCCGGTGGAAAACACGTGCCACGTTGTCTTTTTGTGGATTTGGAACCGACTGTTGTAGGTCTGTACTCTTAAAGTCTTATGATTTACTTTTATATCTGTTGAAAAGAATACAAGGTTTACAGTATTAACTCTCAGAAATTAGGAGACTTATGTATGAAAGAAGATTGCAAGTTTGATTCAGGAGTCTTTTGAAATTGAAACTACCTTGGTTATATTTCTATTCAAAAGACACTTTTAAAAAAATTTCACAAATTTCTTTCGAGCCCATTTGTTTTTTGAGCAATAATTGGCCAATAATTAATTATCAGAAATTTAGTGTTTTGTTACCTCATCATTTTCTCTTCAGATGAAGTTCGAACGGGAACTTACCGTAGTCTCTTCCATCCGGAGCAACTGCTCTCCGGGAAAGAGGATGCAGCTAATTGTTATGCAAGGGGAAGATATACAATTGGAAGAGAAATGATTGATGTATGTCTTCTTGTTTCCTTGTAATCAAGTCTAAGTTCCCTCCTTTTTTCAGGTTGTCATGGATCGTGTAAAACGTCTCGCAGAGAACTGCAATGGTCTTCAGGGATTTGTGATTTTTCATTCTTTTGGAGGAGGAACTGGTTCAGGATTTCTATCACTTCTTATGGAAAGGTTATCAACGGAATACGGAAAGAAACCAAAATTGGAGTTTGCTATCTATCCAGCACCACAAGTATCAACATCAATGGTCGAACCGTATAACTCAATTCTGATGACACATACAACTCTCGAGCACTCAGATTGCACATTTATGGTTGACAACGAAGCAATTTATGATATTTGCAGAAGAAATTTGGATTTAGCAAGGTAAAACATCCATCAATTCTTTATTCAAAAAACCTCTAACATCAATCACTATAGTTTATACTTGATTTGTCTTTCCTCTATTGTCGAAGTGTGTCTTTTGATGGACATCAAATTGTCATTTGAGATCCATGGTTGCTGGAAAAAAGGAAATGTTTTTTAGATTCGAAATAGTTTAACGAACTCTGAAATTTCAAGAGCGGTACGAACATCCTGGGATGATCTGCTGAAATTCGAAAAGCATTTTCTGAATTCAGGAACAAGTTTTCTCAAACCTCAAATCAGAGAGAATCTCAACTGCAGTAGCAACATCCTGAGAAGAACGAATCGATTCAATCTCATTTGCAGTGAATACGGATTGAGTACTTCCAGATGGAGTTGCAATGCTCTTAGCAGTCAAAACTCCAGTTGTTGGTGATTGAATCTCAAGAGCAGTCATAACATCTCTCGATTCACCATCATTCAAAGAAGAGTTCGATGATGAGAGAGCAGTTCGAACAGACAGGAGATTCGGATCACGGGATTGAGCTGTCAATAGTCCTGAAATGTCTTCTGTTACCAAAAGATCATTATGATTCCATCTTACCAGGAGACTGAGCTTTCAATTGACTCATCGTAGTCAAATCTCTTGCAGATCTAACGCTCAAAAGGTTCGGTTCCAATGAGTTGGCAGTACGAACACTCAAAAGAGCAGGTTCG